AAGATCCCGGATCCGATGACCTTCAGGAGACGCTCTCTGGGACTGGACAACTGCCCAAGGTCCCTGTTCTGGGAGCCATTTGTTCCAGCCTGAACTGCTACAAGGAGAGTGCAGGGTAAAGAAGCAGAAAAGGCCTTTGCATGGTATCCACAGATACCATGGGACAGATACTCCAGGGACAGCAGCCAGGTATTGCAACAGCGACCCGCACGTTATGGAGCAAAGAAGGACTGCGGTGGACTGGCTCTGCCGGTACAACCACGAGTATCTCAGCCGGTTCCTCACGGAGCGCCGAGGTGAGCCTGGGGCAGAACGTGTGCCCTCGAGCCGTGCTCTGGCAATGACCCTGAGGCCCCTCAAAACCTCCCTGGGAATCGCCCCAGAGCCCTCAGCCCTCCTTGTGCCCATCCCCGAGACCTTCTGTCCCTGCCACTGACCCCCGTGTCTCTCCCAGTCCATCCCAGTCTCTCCCAGTGCCTCCCGGCTGTCCATCTCAGCCTGGCGTGGCGCTGCCGCCCCTCAGCCAATCAGAGCGCGAGTCTCTGATGACTCATCAGTTGCCAGGCAGACCCGCAGCGCCGCGTGCCCCGCGCTGGACTCGGCCTCCCAGTGCCGCGCGCTTCATTCCCAGTTCCTCCCAGTGCCGCCCCAGTCCCTCCCACTCCTTCCCAGCCCATTCCCAGTTCCTCCCAGTGCCGCCCCAGTCCCTCCCACTCCTTCCCAGCCCATTCCCAGTTCCTCCCAGTGCCGCCCCAGTCCCTCCCACTTCTTCCCAGCCCATTCCCAGTTCCTCCCCAGTTCACTCCGAGATCTCCACCCTCTCTGCCAGTGCCCCCCCATCCCCTCCCCTCTCTCGGAGTGCCACCCCAGTCTTTTCCCAGTTCATTCCCAGTCCCTCCCAGTCCATTCCCAGTCTGCCCCAAGGCCACACCACCCCTCCCCTCTCTCTCCACCTTTCTCCCAGCTGATCCCAGTGTGTTCCCGCTCTCTCCCAGTCACCCCCACCGTGTCCATCTCGCTGGTGCCCTCGAGCTCCCAGCCCAGCCCCGGCCGCCTGCTCTGCTCCCTGGTGGATTTCTACCCTGCCCACACCCACACTGAGGTGGTTCCAGGGCCAGCAGGAGCTCTCTGTGGTGGCCACCGACATGGTCCCCAACGGGGACTGGACCCACCAGCTCCTGGTGCTGCTGGAAACCCCAACCCGGGCCGGGCTCACCTCCACCTGCCAGGTGGAGCACGTCAGCTGGGAGCACCCCCTGAGCCAGTACTGGGATACAGGGGAGGAATTGGGGGCGCTGGGAGAGCCACTGGGATGTGCTGGGAGCAACTGGGAGGGAGTTGGAGAGAGCCTGGTTTCAACTGGGAGAGGAGGTTGTGGGTTTGGAAAGGCTAAGAAGGGGTTTGAAGGATACTGGGGAGGGTGGGATGGGGTTCTGGGGGTCCTGGTGGACACTGGGAGGGAGTTTGGGTGTGCTAGGTGTGACTGGGAGGGATGTGAGTGAGCCTGGAGGAGCTGGATGGAGATTGGGGATGGAAAAGCAGAGATTGGGATGAGGTTGGTTGTGCTGGGAAGAGACTGGGAGGGGTCTGGGTGAACCCTGGTGGGGCTGGGAAGGGAATGAGAGAGAGTTTGGGGGTCCTGGAGCAGTGGGGGGCAACTGGAAGGAGGCTGTGGGATACTGAGAGGGACAGGAGGGGCTTTGGTGGGTCCTGGGGAGGTGAGGAAGGGATTAAGAGGGAGGTTTCAGGGATCCTGAGTAGGTTGGGAGGGACGAGGAGGGTGCTTGGAGGGGCCTGGGTGCCTGTGAGAGTTTCTGGGGGGTCCTCACCCCTGCGGAGACCCCAGAGATGCTGCTGGATGCTGCCGCATCAAGATGCTGACAGGAACTGGGGATTCCGTGTTGGGCTTCATCTTCCTGGGAATCTGGTTCTACCTGCACAAGAAAGGGGGGTCCCGTGAGTCGTATCCCACCTCCCCCATAATGTGAATGGTCCCCCCGGGGCCCCCAGCCCTGTGTCACCCCCTTTTCTCTGCCCACAGAGCTCCTGAGCCGCCGGCGGCCGCAGCCCCTCCCCGTGGCCCGGGACCCGGCCGCACCCACTGCTCCATCCCCACGCTGATTTTGGGGGGGGGCAAGTGTCCCCCCAGGCGTGCTTATCACTCTGCCCCTGCCCGCCTGCTCCCAGTGTTCCCAGTAAAGCTTCCCAGTTAAACCCAGCCCAGTTCATGGGGGCACTGGGGAGGGACTTGGGGGGACCCCACGGCGGGGCCGGCACTGGGCAGGGAGGGCGGGGTCCAGGTGCGGAACACTGCCTGCTGCGGGTCTGCCCGGCAACTGGTGAGTCATCAGCCCCGCTCGCTCTCATTGGCTGACTCTTCTCCACCGCGTTCTCTCATTNTTCTCTCATTGGCTGAGGAGAGGCCCGGCAGTGCAGAGAAGGAACGGGAGAGATCCCGCCCCGAGCACCGGCACGGGGACAACAGACCCAGCCTGGGCACGGAGGGAATTTATTACCAACCAAACCACGGCAGCACCAGGAGAAGGGAAAGAAATCCCTCCAGCACCTTCCCCCCGCCCAACGGGGATCACCCACAACAGGGTTATCCACCATGGAGAGACGGGGACATCCGAGTTTAGACCACAGCCAATTTTATTGAGTGTACCAGGTGTTTATACAGGGATTTACTTGTATGGTGCTTATAGAGGGCTCTGTTTTTGGTAACAATTTCCCATTGATTACACATTCTTCGTGACATCTAGTAACCTGGGAACATTTATCTTATCACAAAGTCTCACACCATGTTGCTTGGCCACTTCTTGCCCAGGGAGACTTCAAATGTGTCTGTGTCTCCCACAGTTTCTGCTCAGTCAGGCCTCAGATATCGGGCCCCTTTATCAGCTCCATTACTTTAGTCTCTGTTTTATTCCCCATACGGGGACACCAGGGCTCTGCCCAACGGGGGTCACTGGGGATCATCCAGCCCGGATCCCATGGGGGATGGAGCTGCAGGAGCACACCAAGCTCTTCCCTCACTCTCTTCCCTCACTCCAAGCTCTTCCCAAACCCTCATCCCTCACTCAGGGCACTCACAGGGCTTCCCTTAGTGGTGCCTCCGTTGGTGCTGGGTCAAGTGAAAGCTCCTGGAGAAGCTCTTCCCACACTTCCCACACTCGTGGGGCCTCTCCCTGGTGTGGATGCGCCGGTGCCTGATGAGGTGGGAGTTGTGCTTGAAACCCTTCCCACAGTCGGGGCAGCGGAAGGGCCTCTCCTCTGTGTGAATCCGCTCATGTAGGAGGACATGGGAGCTAGTCTGAAACCACTTCCCACACTGGGGACACTCGTAAGGCCTTTCCCCAGTGTGGATGCGCCGGTGCTTGGTGAGGTTGGAGTTTTCCTTGAAGCCCTTCCCGCAGTCGGGGCAGAGGAAGGGCCTCTCCTCTGTGTGAATCCGCTCATGTACAATGAGATTGGAGCTGTTTCTGAAGCTTTTCCCACACTTCCCACACTCGTAGGGCCTCTCCCCAGTGTGGATCCTCTGGTGCCGGATCAGGTGGTACCTCTGGCTGAAACCCTTCCCACATTCCAAGCACTTGTGGGGCTTCTCCCTGCCATGAGGCTTCTCCACCAGCTCCGAGCTCCGCCTGGATCTCCGCCCGCCTTCCTGGCTCAGTGGGGCTCTTTCCTCCCCGCAGCTCCCTGGGCTGGGTTTGCAGCTCCTCCTCCTGCAGCATCTCCGGGGCTTTTCCTCCTCCTCCATCCAGCCACGCCCTGGAAATGACAAATCCTGGTTTGAGGGAAAAACAAGAGAAGAGCAACTTGGACTGGAGGTTCCTCCTTGCCCAAGTACATCTCAGGAAGTCATTGGGAATCTCGTATCTGTAAGAACCTCCAAAACACCAAGATTCAGTCCAAAATTCCCACAAACGTCAAGACACAGAAAAAAAACTCCCCAAACATCACAAGTCAGCAAAAACCTCCTCCAAAACATAAAGATTCAGCTGCCACATAAAACCAAAGCACCAACATTTAGCCCAAGAAAGCTCAGAAACACCAAGATGCACCCCCTGAAAATCATGGATCTCCCCCCACAGTCACCTGCTGCATTTGGGGGGAGCAGGGCTCCTGGGCTGGGGGGAGGCTGCAGATACAGGGAGGGGTGGAACCTTCTGCTGCTTCCTCTTTCTGCTCCTCCTCCTCCTCCTGTGTCTCTATTCTTCCTCACAATCCTCTTCCTCCTGCTATTCCTCCTTCTCCTGCACAATCCCACCCTCTCCTGCCACCTGCATTGTTTGACCATTTTGTTCCTCAAGTCTGCTTCTCCTTCCCTTCTCCTCCTGCCCCCAGGCCCAGCACCCACTGCCGGCTCCCTCTTCCCCCCACACCCACAGCATCCCAGCGCAGGGCAGGGATGGAGCTGGGGCAGGTCGGGCTAGGGCAGCGCTGGGCTCTCGGCCGCTCCCGCCCGCACTCGGTCCCCACTGCAGCCGCTCCCGCCAGGACAGCGCGGGGGGGCCCGGCCTTGGCGCTGCCCCACTCCCACCTCCCCAAATTCCCCTCGCGGGGCCATGGGGCCGAGGGGGGGGCGCAGGTGGGGTCCAGGTGGGGAACGCGGGGAGCTGCCAGTCTGCCTGGCAACTGGTGAGTCATCAGCGCCGCGGGCTCTGATTGGCTGAGCTCGGCCTGAGCGCGGGGGCTGCAGCACAGAGGGGACACCCTGCTCCAGGGGGGATGTCCCACAAACGGGGGACCCCATGGAAGGAACAAGAGGATAGTGTCTTTACAAACAGATGCTCTGAATCTGCTCGGAGATAGGGCCAGGGACCTGTTCATAAGGAAATGACAGGAGACACCATCAGTTTCAGAAAATGTTATCAATTGATAACAGACACTGCTGCTTAGCCAAGGTCCTGTTCAATTCATGAACTTCCAGAAGAACAACAAAGACTTAACAGAGCCATGAATATCGTTTCCTATACAAAAGTGGGGAGCATATTAAGATGGGTATGTAGTAGGTGGATTGGGAAGTCTGCACCTCTCAAGTACTTCAGCCAATGGGGAAAGCAGAGGGAGATGTGGCCAGGAGAATTAGGAAGAAAAGGAGGCTGTGTCCTCCAACAATTGGAGAGATCCCATGGGGAATGTCCCATGACTTTTAGGAATGCAATTCCATTCACAGGACTCCTCTGTCTTCTTTGTGGACAGAATCCTCTGCTGATGTCAAATTTCCAGCATACCCTGGGGCTCATCCCAAATTCCTTCCACCATCCAAGATACTGTGGGCAGGGAGTGCAGCTGAAGGTGCCTCACTCACTTTGGGTGATCAGCTCCCTTGGCTGGCGGTGGCACCGGGGATTGATTGGGGACCCGGGAGTGACCAGGAGACAGACGAGTGACACATCAGGGGGGTCTGGGAAGAGTCAGCAGGGAGAGAACACTGAAAATCTCATCAGTGAGTGCCCTGGGATCCTCGGGGAGTGAACATGGCAGGGCACCCATGTAGGGGAAAAAAGGGAAAGCCAGGGAGGGGTCCTGGCCAAAGGGATGATGATCCCAAAATGTCTCTGAAGGGTCCCTTGGGAGAATACTGAGGAAGTGGAGAAGGGATTTGGACAACAGGGGATGGATGATGTTGGTGTGCTGGGAAGGAATCAGGTGAAGGGGAGTGTGCAGCAATATGGTTCAGGCAAGAAGCAGCAGGAGGAATCTATGTGGTAAGAAAAAGGATGATGG